GGTTAATACTCCAGTTCTTGTGCTAAAAGAAACAGAGATTTAAGCGACATGAAATAGATAAGCACACGTAAACAGAGTAAACAATTATTTATGTTAGAAGCACATTAGCCTAAAAATACAGCACTTCTGTCAGGACAGGGCAGCATGTGGGAGGTGAAAGCAGGAGCAGGCTGCAAAGCAAGAGCATGGAAACTCACAGGGAGGGATGCTGGAACAGGCTGCCCAGAGAGGTTGTGGAGTCTCCTTCTCTGGAGATCTTCACAACCCACTCGGACGCAGCCCTGTGCTACGTGCTCCGGGTGACCGACCCTGCGTGTCCAGGGAGGTTGGACTAGATGATCTCCAAAGGTCCCTTCCAACCTTAAGGATTCTATGACTCCGTGCTGTGAGGAAAGCCAAAGCTCACCTAGAACTGACACCAGCAGCAAAGAAAGGAGGAAAATGCAGGTCTGCTGCTGAGCAGACCAAGTGATTTAGTGACGGCTGGAGATACGTGATGCCTCTTGCCCTCTCTTTTCACCGAAGTCTTCCAAACCTCAGTGCTTAGAGGCTGGGTTCAAGGAGGAGAGGAGATTACCAGCAGAGGTGAATAGATGGAATTTATGCCTCCGGATAGAGGGTCTCAGAGGGTCAGGWGCTGATGGGCTACGTGCTACCTGGAAGCCACTAGACCCAGCAGAGCACCTGGGAAGTCTGCACCTGCTAATTAAGAAAGTGGAGCCAGGCTCTTTACAGGACAGGAGGATGGCAGAGATTGCATATAAACTGACACAAACGAAGTTCGGAATCAATAAATGTAAAAACTTTTCTACCATAAGAATAGCCTGGCACTGGAGCAGGCTGCTTGGAAGCATCACCTCCGTTCTTGGAGGTTTTAGCGGCCCATCTGGATAAAGCCCTGAATAATCTGCACAGACCCCACAGCTGACCCTGCTTTGTGCAGGAGGCTGACTGGAGACCTCCTSAAGTCCCTTCCCATCTGAATTATAACTCAGGTTCTATAGGTGGAATTTCCTTCTTTTCCTTACTACTTCTCCTCAGAGCATCACATCATTAAAAACATCAGTGTATGTTCAGATAATCCACGAGGATCATCTGAAATAATGTTAATCAAATACGGGCTGACATTGAAATTCCCCTCCTCCTCCAGGCCAGTCCCTTCACCGTGACCCAGTGACAGCAGGGGCAGTGCATGTGTTGCCTTAGTGCTCAGCATTCAGACCCAAAACATTTGTGCTGCTTTGCAGAAGGTGCCACAGAGCCCGGAGAGGAAAGGAGAGGATTACAGCCATGCAGGTTCTAGCATCTGGAATGTATCACTTCATTAAATGCTCAGATGTGACGGTCGCTAGCAACAAGGGGGAAAATAAACAGAAAAGGCGTGTGGGATTGGCCAGTCATCCTCGGAACATACTTCTCCCTGCAGTAAAAAATACATTCACAATTGTTCCCAACAAAATGCTCCCCATCAACAAAACGCAAAGCAGCCTTCCATCTGCTATTCATTCTCAATTCATAAGGAGAAAAAAATAATCCTATAAAAGTCTTTCTTAAATGTCACTGTTGCCTATACACTTAAGGAAAAGGCTTTTGAGTCTAAACATATTCACGACGTTCTGTGCCACTATTCTCTGTAGCAAGTAAGAGAATTACCTTGACTGTCCCACTGCCAACTGCCAGCACTTCAGGTCCACCTAGAATAAGACTGAGCTGGTTTATTTACATAGGGTAAATCAATGATCCTTGCAGAGGATCAGAATCAAGTCTGTCCAGACTGCTTTAATTCTGAGCCACTTTTTGTGAATCCATACAAAGGAAAACCATGATCTAACTCTTCTAAGCAAAGGCAGGGATAGTCTGACTCTTTGCTTTTCCAAAGGAAGAGAATTAGAACCCAATGACTAATTCCTACCTCAATTTTCATTTTGTTTGCTTCTTTTTCCAGGCCACAGAAAAGTAAGTGCTTCACTGAAGCAGGAGGAAAGTAGCAGACCRACAAGATCACGTGCCTGAGAAGACTAATACATGGACAAGCAATTGGTTTGGTTGGTGGAAAAATTAAGAACACTCTTGGTAATTTTCTGTATGAACAGTGGAACAGTTATCTCTCTCCAGAACTCACAGCAAGCTTTCATGGTGTCTTTTGGGCTCAAACACACTGCAGCTTGAGTAATGGATTAAAAAAAGAAAAGGTATAAAATTTAGGAAAGTTCCTTAGTCTAGACTTGAGAAATAGAATTATACCTAGAAAAAACACGCTCAAATTAAACCAAAGCTTACTGCCCGTTTATGTGGTCTAGAACAACCTCTAGAAAATAGAAAAATACTTGGACAAGGAGAGATAGGATCAGTTCCCCAAAGACAAAGATCTCCAACCTTTGCCTTAGCTGTTAGTATAGGAAGCATAACCAACATGCTTTTAAGAAAGCTTTGTGCAAAATCTCTAATTGCTTTTTCTTTTTAAAATAGTTACAGCAAAAGACACGTTGAACGAAAAACTAAGTCAATCAAGTCACATAAAGAGAAACAGTCCTTTCTCTGAAAATGTTGTCCCTCAATCTAGCTGAATTTTCAGTACATTCATTTGAGCACACTGCTTTCTTATCCCGGGCTCCTCTTTATTAGCAGACAGTCTTATCTCTGTCGTGGGTAGCTGCAGAAGATCCTTTACAGGAAAGATTAGCTCAGCTATTCTGCCTTGAAACTTTCAACCAAAGGCGGTGCAGATTTTACATGGCAGTCCAGGTTGCATTTATGTTACTTTGAGCAACTGAAAGAGAAGCAGCTATTGCACAAAACCTGCTAGGAGGACGTGCCTCATCAGAAAATGCTGGTCCAGGGAGGCCCTGCCCCGCGTGTGCCACCACGTGCCTGTGAACAGACATGGGACTTGGTGTCCCCGGAGTGCCATCCATGCCCATCTATTCACCGGAAAATAGAGCGCCTACCCGGGAGCCTGGGTACGACAAGGACTCCATGGCTGAGTTTGTAACAGTCTGCAAGGAGGTCTCAAGACCAGACTATATAGACATGCATACGTATATGTAAATGTGTGTGTGTGTGTGTGTGTACAAATGGGGCGGGGAAAAGTCCTGCTGGAAAACCAGTGAAAATCAAATAAAACCGATTATGCACTCAAGAACTAAATATATTTGCTGGTGGACTTGCTGCTCTAAAAAGTGACAGGTCAAAATAGAGCCTGTTCACTGCAGCACACACCAGATCCAGATCTGGGGAGAGGAGACGCTCTCGGGCTGAAGTTACACTTTGCGCCTTCAGATGATTTAACATCTCACCATATGCTCACGGAGGAGAGCATTCCTGCCTCTCTCCTCCCCCACAACATGCATATTCCTCTCTCCCATTCCMCCAGGGCCTGCACTCCCCACAAACAACACCGTGCTGAACTGCATGAGGCAAAATGAACAACTTTCTGGGGGGCTGCAACGCGAGTTAAGTGAGTGAAGGGCCAGACAAGTGCTCAAGTGATGGGACTAGGGGAGAGGAAGGGAGAGGCAAGAGAATTGCAACCTCTTGAACTGGCTTGTCCACGCTCTGCACACTGATGCTAGGAGATGTTCAGACCTGTGTTGTGCCAAACTAAGTAATTTCTTTTTTATCTTTTTTTTTTTYCTAAACAACCCACCAGCACTATTTCTCCTCTCCCATTTCTCAGGGTAATGCACAACTTTCCATGTCCGGAGCTGTGTGCACTTCCAATTAACCTCTCTGACGGACTGGAAAATAAACACGCAGCTTTCCTACAGAATAATCCATTTCGGCACACGAAGAAAGCAATACACTAGTAACCAAAAGGAAACCAATTAAAAAGCAAATTTGTGTCAGAGCTACTGCAGACAGTGCCCCCCCTCCCCATCCCCCTTGCGTCTGCAGGACTTGCTGCGTATTTATTTACCTGCGGTGCGAAGAGGCTGAGCTCCCACCCCAAACCCAAGTAGCTGCCGTTTTGTGTTAACAAGGGAGACAGACGCTGGCTGCAAACGTGCGTGGGCAGAACCCTAAGCAGGACACCAAGGTGGTGATGAATAACGTGCTCCTGAATGTCAAGGTACAGAGGCATTTTCAGAACAGCCCAGCTCCTTTCCCACATTGCGGCAGAATGAAATAAAATGTAGGTGGAACCAAAGTCCTGTTGTTATTAGTATGCAAAGAAAATTAACTGATTTAAATTCACCCATCTGTTCTGGCCAACCACTTCTGAGTAATTCTCAACATTTTAGTCACCTGGTAAAAAGACAGTAAGTCCTGGGCACAAACACTTCCTAACCAGTTTGTATTCAGGAGCACAGATGATGAAACCACACAGTAAGCAAGTGCTTCATTCTTCTTTCGCTAAGCCCTGCTCCTTGCCCAGCTCCCTGGCTGCTTTCTGTCTCTCCCATTTCTCTCTTCTTTCTGGCAGATGAAGTGGAGGTGGAGAAGAAATGGGAGGGAGGCTCTTGGGCAGCATAAGGATTATTGTAGTTTCCCATCCTTAAGCAAGGAGGAGTTTCCTCGGCAGACAGACGACCTGATGCTGCTACCTACTCCTCCACCGCCAGCCCCCTTTTTAGTTTCTCCTTAAATTAATACACATATGCCTGTCTCTGTGTTAAGCTGTACAGTCCAGCAACGACGTTTACCACATCTCACTCCATATCCATACCCAATACCTCTCCCCATCTTTTTGTTGCTGCTCTGGGCAATTTAAGTCAGAGAAAACAGCAAATCAGTAAGATACTCAAACATGCACCTACACCTGAAACAAGAACCAGTTTTACAATGTTACATTTTGTTTTCATCAGGAAAAGCAGCCTGAAATGGTGGGGAAATTAGTCTGCATATCTTCCCCCTCCTCCTCCCCCCCCCCCCCCCCCCCAATTTGAAAAAGGGAATAGATGAGACAGTTCCCTAAAGGTAGTATAGTTAGTGAAAGAATAACAGAGCCAAAAGAATCTAATCATCGCTTGAAAACACAAAGGAAGGTGATGACTACTTACATATAATATGTAGGATACAATCCTTCAAAGTACCAGCAATGCTTTTTGGCCTCTGTACACTACAAAGAAAGAAAAGAAGATATTAATATTTACACAGGACAACATGCGATCATAAACACAAGCTTGGAATAGTTACAAATACTGTAACTTTGAGCAACTAGAAGAGATCTCCATTCCCACAGGCTTCACAAACCCGAAACGCAAAGCAGTGGGGAAGCTAGTTAACTTGAACTGCAATGTGCCCCATACGGATGCTTCACTGGGAGCTCTGTCTGTGGGGTGCCATGGGTTCACTCAAAGCACAATCATCGCAGCCCCAAGGCCCTGCGAGGACCTCCAATCCAACTGCATGTGTTTCCTGGCAGAACAGGAGTCTTGAAGGAATCTCAGGAATACAGAGAACTTCAGAGTGCGCTGTGGTTAGAGTCACCTAAGCACGAAAGCATCCTCATTTAGACAATACCAGACACATGCAAGTGCCATTAATTTGCTATTTACAAGGAATTATTCATCTTTATGGAATTCTCTGACGCACAGAGGCAGCCTTGGACAGGAACAAAAACAGAGAGCCCATGTTAGGAGAGCATCTCATTTTCCTGCGGCCTGGACCTGCTTCAAGTGTTCACTAAAGCACCAAGGAGAGGACACGGCTCTGCAGCCAGGAGCACTGATCTCTCCTGCAGACTGTCAGCATTTCCTTTATAAAGGCTGGTGACAGGCGCTTTCGGTGCGTGTGTGTGCAGGCAGTGAGGGAAACGTGCATCATTACAGGCCCTGCCAGAGCACGGGCAGCGAGTGGGAACAACGCCGATGCTCTGAAAGGAAAACCAGATGCCAAGTGCAAACTGCACCCACATCGCACCTGATATGTCTGCACATCCTGCTGACACCCCTAGCAGAAAATACAGCCCTCGTTACAGATATGGCTCCAGCAGCTCCCAGCGCAGCAAGGAACATCGCCCCGCGGCTCCACAAGGAAGGGCTCTCGCCGCTGCTCACACCTGACACGCGGCGCATCCGCAGCTCTCCGATCATCCGTCATGCTCCCTGGGCAGCTCACCTTTAAACAAGGGCCTGCGGAACTTCATTAGCCGCCCCGAATCCCGGAACACCCAACGAATCCGGCTAAGACAAAGACGGAGTGGTTTCGGGCCTCTTGCCTCGCAGTCCTCATGAATGGCTGCAAGGCCAGCTCTCTAATGAGCAGCTGATGAGCTCAATCACAGACAGATCAATTACAGCCCACAAAGACAAACTGCTATGGATTAAAGTGTTAAGACTAGAGCAGGAGGCGGCGGGGGAGACTTTCGGTGCGTGTGCCCAGACCTCTCCACTCGCTGTACGGCAAGGGCTCACACCAGCCTGCAAGCTGCACCAGCTTTCGGTGCTGGGGAAAGCGCTGCAGCCTTCACTTTAGGATAAAAACAGTGGCAGCCTCACTTCTGTCTTAAACGGACGCCACCRTTAAAGCAGGAGGGCTCCAGAGATGCTGCAAGAGCACCTTGCAAGAGCAAGTTTTTCTCCAAATATTAAACTGCACATTTGCCCTATTCCCCTCTTGTTCTCTTGTTTATCTCTCTTTTTTCTCTCTTTTTTTTTCTTTGTTCTTCCCTCAAAGCTTCTGAGTTCTTAAACTTTACTTCTAAATCTTCTCATCAGAACACAAGGGTTCCTTTTAATCTGAAATCAGGACCAGGATGACTCCCTCGCAGTGCCACTCTGCAAACATAGCAGTCTTGTAAATCCAGCGTGTCAGCTGCTGTTTTAGTGAAGAAAACACTTCAGCTCTTTGCCTTTGAAGGCTGTGAATCCGCAGGCCCTGGCTGAAATTCCACTGTTTGCAGATCTCCCCCTTGGGAAGCCTCCTTGCGGAATTCAGCTTGGGGTGTGCGCTACTCTATGTTTTTCCTCCTGCTTCTGGACCAATATGACTCACTGTTTATCTTAACATCCTTACAGCCTTTGCCTGCTTTAATTGATACTTTGCCAGCAATGTTTTGGAGCGCATGGAGCCTGCACATCCATTACTTCTTACCCACATAAAGGAGACATTTGTATTTAGTACTTGCTCTGTTTGTCCTCGTCCCCATGTTTTAATCCACTTTGCAAGTTCTAAAATGAATAGAGAAGAGGCTTCCACCTTTCCAGGTTGTAAAATTTCTGTTTCTTCCTCTTAAATTATTTGGACTTTGCTGCAGCCACAAACACTTGCTGCTGCCATACAAAGGCTCCCACCTAGGCAAGCTTTGCTAATACCAAGCTTCCCTCTGGCTTACAGGGATTAGACACGCACACTAAGCAATCTGTAGGGCAAGGCTTTGCCTTTACAYGAGACCTAGCACAGTCGGTGCTGCTTGCGGTCCTGGCGCTTTCCCGCATCACTGGGATGTGAATAACACACGGAAGCTCTCTCCTGCACAGGAATCGGGTAAGCAGCACGGCAGAGCACGATCCACGCGACGTATCAGAAGGATTTCCACACGCGGGACCAAGCGCCACGGTCCCTGCTTAGGTAAAACTCCCACTGATCCCCACAGCAACATTCTTTGAGTAAGCCCRGGCATAAACCCGGCTCCAAGCCGCAGCGGCTACTGCTGGTTAACAGACCTCGCAGGGATTCACTGATCCACAGGAGCAGGGAGCGTCCTAACCCCGGAGGATTTCCACCTCTTTAGTATGCAGCYACCAGGGCGATGAACTGGGTAGCTGGGACACGGATTACTCTTTTGCACCCCACACACATCCTCTGAAGCAGACTGTGATCGCCTCTCTCCTGCCAGGAGCCAAAYTCCCCTTTCTTTGGGGCGAGTGCGCTGGCCTCTTAGTAAAGCCCGTGAGGAGTCACACCAGTGCACGAGGGAACAGATTCTGGCAGCAGCTGGTTTTCATCCTCACCTCGAGGACTGTGTCCTTGCAGATGCTTGAGATAATTCAGATTTAAGCTCCCAAGTTAGCTAAGAAACATCAACCAGAAGCAATTTGCTCCAATCCACAAAGCAAACCAAAGAAATGGAAGATAATTCATAGTGCTGTGGTACAAAAAGACCYCATATATCAGGATTGGCAGCCACTCTGCTAGCTCCTGCATGAAGACAGGTTGCCTACCCAGAGAATTTCTGGTAGGCGTTTGTCCGTGTCTTAAAAAGCCATTTACCATTCGCTAGTTGCAAAAATGGGCAGTTTATGGTTCTTAACCTAAGCTTAGTTACGGTCCTGCTGATGCKTTTAACTTTTCTAAAAGAACATCATTTCAGATATACAATTTCTTCTTCTACATCCTTTATCCATTCGACACAAGCAAAAATATAAATAAACCCAGGAGTACGTTTGCTTTGTCAATAAATGATGCAGGCCTAACTGGGTGCGCATGTGCAATCTCTAAAGAGCTACTGGTACATGAAACAGCCAGATGCATGAACACAGTTGTGAAGACTGGGGAATTTGGGGAAAAAAAAAGGGGGCGGCGGGAAGCCCACATGAGACTATTTCTTTTTAATCAACATCTCTCTTGCAGCCTGTTTTCTCTGACAGACTGCAGCAGCACGAGCTGCAAGCTGTGCTCTTCTGTGGCCTCTAAACTCATTCAGGTTTCCTCTAAGATGGGAAACGTGTGGCTTCCTGCCACAGACTGAAACTGCAAATGCTGCTGCTAGCGAGAACAATGAAAAAAGGGAAGCAGTTACTCAAACAGTAACCAAAGACGGGTGTTGATTACACCATAAAATATAGAATACAGAAGTATATGCGTGCTACGCTGTGTGGGAGCCTGCTCAGTGAGCACCTGAAGGTATCCTGTGGATTATGAGTTATGCCTTAAAGGATTTGCAGAAATACTGCCTGGAAAGCATCTCCTCCACACTGCACATCATTTGAGTCAGCTCATAGTGAAATAAATTAAAAATATACACACCCACAGACCTGTATGATCAATGAATCACTTTTTTTAATCAAGGGCACCCTGGGGTCATGCCGAGTGCTTCCATCGGACTTTTAGAAAGTCAACTATTAAAACCTCAGCTAGCCACAGCGAGTACTTTCCTACATAAGGACAGCCAAGGTTTGGTATGGGAAGCAACAGAAAAGCAGCCCTCAGAGGATGGAAGGGCTTGTGGTGACAGGTGGGGAGGAAGATGAAGGTACCTGCACTCTGCAGGAACACACGGACRTCTCCTCAAAGCCAGATTCGGTAGGAGGCACGGGTCTGCCATTGACCACCAAGCCAAAGAATCTGAGGGGCTGGGTCTTTTAAAAACAAAACAAAAGAAAACACAAACAAACAGACAAAAAACCCTATATGCTACAGCACAATTACAAGAAAACAGAACAAAAACAAACAAAAAAAGCAGGAATTTAACCGCGTGGCCGGCCACACTGACAAGCCAGAAATGGCCCCTAGCGCTCTGCGATGACTCAAATAGTCGGTGGCTGTTAAATCCTCTCATCCCGCTGGGCACATCCTATGTATTAGTAGAGGTCAGGTTGATCCCAGTCTCATTCTTGTGGCTACAGGCTCTGACACTCTGCTAGGATTTATTCATCCATAGGCGAGAAGGAAGAACAAACGAAAAGTGCATCCAAGATTTGGAAAAAGACCGCATGGCTTCTCAGCAACACACAGGGTGATTTAGAGAGATTTCCTACCCGAGCATATACCCACAAAGCTGTATTGCAGCCAGGTCACAACTGCTAACTGCCTTTCCCAACATCCTCTCAACTCCCAACTGCCTCTTGCCAACATCATCTGCACAGAACTGCTACAGCCCTCCTGGTTGCTGCACTCGGCCGCTCCGGGAATGAGGATGAAGAGACGGGGCCGCCTACAAGGGGATTCACAGAACAGCCTAAGGGGGAAAGCAATTTGCAAGGGAGGGTGCGTTCAGTTTGAGCCTTGCCTGAATCCATCAAATATTCATCCCTGTTTGTTCCTGGTGATGCCAACAGAWGAGGTCAAAGTGACCCCTCTCCAAACTACTGGAGGAAACTGAGCTCCAAGCCGTGTTCCCAACGGCTTCGGCGCTGCATTGCAGTGGGCATGACCCCATTGCAAAAGACAGGAGCA